TTTTTTTTTTTTTTTTTTCCTGTTTGTTTGTTTTGGACAAGGTCTCACTCAGTAGCCCAGGCTAGAGGGCACTGACATGATCCTGGCTCAACCTCTCAGGCTCAAGCTGTTATACTGGACAGAGCGTAGAAAGTTGGCACCAAGACAAAAGTATGCCAGATTGCAGGGTCATTTATTATGCCGGCAACCACAGAGGACTCACGTCTCTCCACCTGTGGCATTGAAAGGAGGGTGCCAAGACTTTTTATACCTGAAAAACCACCTTGGGAGTGGGGGTGAGGAGTGGGGATGGGGATGAAAAGGCTTCAGACATTCCGAGGGCTAGTGGATTCTGTAAATCATCTCCTGGGCGGAGACGAGGGCTCCGGATATTCCAAGGGCCAGGGGACTCTTGTCATTCCGTTTGTGACTTAAGTGTTTTACAGAAGTCAAGATAAACATTTGTTTACACATTATCTGGGTACGGTGGAAATCACAGACCTTAGTTACTTATTACAAGTCGCAGGAGCCAAGATGGCATTAGTTTGGGGTGCTTAGTCTGGCAATTGCCGGTGGGCAAAGGCTAGCAATTCTGGCAGTTACTGATAAGAAAAGGTAAGCAGCTTTACATAGTGGCTAGTTTGCAAAGCAAACTAGCAGTTTTATTTACAGTAGCCAAGGCCAGCAGTTATTGTGAGGAGAATGGGGCAGCCGTTACAACTTATTTTTAAAAAACAGCTTTTTCTTTTATAAAATGATGTTGTTCAGGCTCTAACTCTAGGCCCGCTACAGCACAATATCACAAAGCGATCCTCCCACTTCCTCCTCCCATGTAGAGTAGCTGGGACTCTACCAGGCATGCCACCATGCCCGGCTACTTATTATTATTATTTTTGATATGTGCAGAAAGGGGATTTCACCAAGTTGACCAGGCTGGACTTGAACTTCTGAGCTTAAGTGATCCGCATGCCTCAGCCTTCTAAAGTGTTGGGATTACAGACATGCATCACCATGCCAGGCCCAGGGTCTCTGCCACTTTTTTGTATTTCTTGCCATTCTTCTGCTTTTTTTTTTCCCCCTGTATTGGACTTGCTCTATCCCATGGGGTTCTCATCCAGCTGAAGGGGTTACCCCTAGAGGCTGCAGGGCCGTGTGGCAGGAGGCCAGTATCCTCACCTGGAGCTGCAGGGTTTGCTGGTCTGGCTGGCCTAGAGAGATGCAGCTGGAGCCGAATTCAATGGCGGAGCCAGGGCTATAACTGAGCAGTAGGGCAGAGAGCAGATCCAGAGCCCCTGGGCAGGCCAGAAGGAGGCCCCTGCTCAGTTGAACCTTCCCAACTGCTGCCCTTGGTACAACCAGCCGGAGCCACCTGCTGCAGAACCGGGGCTGGACACAGAGGCAGTTTGTGGAGGGAGAATGGGCAGGGTGTGCATGTCCATTCTGTAGAAGGGCAAAGAGGCCCACGGGTAGGCCTGTGATCAGACTGCAGCCGGGCTCGACTGAGGCCCTCCGATCCAAACACACTAACCAGGCACCTAATGCAGCCTCCAGCACAGGATTGGGGTGCTGGAAGTGAGTCAGGCCTGGGAGCCCCCAGTGGGGAGGGAGCCTTGAGAGTCTGGCATAGAAAGGAAGAAGAGCTGAGCCACTGGAGGCTGCGTGGCTGAACAGGACAGGGATTCCCAGCAAGAATGACGTTGGGCTGAGGGCTGGGACATGTCTAGCAGGGACTCTGGGGTGTTGACAGGTCACCCAGCTTGGTCAGCAGGGCCTAAGTGCCCAGCTGGGATAGGAAGCTAAAAACGTAGTACTCTCCTTCCTTCTGAGAGTTGGGTAGTGGTGAGGAGGCCTGGAAGCAGATTGAGTGCTGTGGCCTTGTGCAAGCCCCTTCCCTCCTCCAGCCTCAGTTTCCTCATTTGTACAATGCAGGAGGGTACTTCTACAGCCCCTCTCAACCCTGGGAACCTCTGCTTGCCTCAGCCCATTTTTCATCTTGGGACTTGTGCAGGGCACACAATCCATGATCCATCCATCAACAGTGAGCAGACAGACAAGACTAACTGGCCCCACAAGGCCCGGCAGCAGCCCAGGGACCTGCTACCTCTCAGCCAAGGTGAAGGCCTCGTCTTTCAAGGCTCACACCTTCCTTAGGGGGTTCACCTGGGCAAAGGCATCACTGTGCCGCTGGCCTGCGGGGCAGATCAGTGAGGTGAGTGGGGAGTACCCTGAGTTCTCTGAGGTCTGTGCCCTCCCCCACCCCAAAATCCCAGTACCAGCGTTCTGAGGCCTGTATCTGAGAGGCATCAGGGAAGAGGAGGCCTCTCTGCTAGTCACTGGATCACAGACCCTGACTCATCAGTGGTCCACCTTTCCTGTGTCCAGCTCCTTGAAGCAAGGGTCAAGGACAACTCCCTGGAGCTGCCATTCACCCTCCATCCCCGGCCAGTCCCATCCATAGGTCAGACCCCTCCAGCCTCCTCCTGGGCTCTAGGCTGGCCCGTCTTATTCAGCTTCCTGTCCCAGCTGGGCACTTAGGCCCTGCTGACCAAGCTGGGGGGCAGTAGCAGTTGGAGTGAGAAGTGGGGAGGGATGGCTACTGCACCGGGGAAGCTTTGTGTCGAGGTCTTTCTCATGAGGGTGGTGGGGAGCCATGGCAGGCTTTATGCAAGGGAGGGTATGGGCAGATTGAGATTGCAGAAGGATCCCACTGGTTGCCTTGTATGAGGACCCAGGGAGAAGAGGAGGCTGTCCGTGTCTGAGTAGGAGATGAGGCTGCTGGTGGCCATGAGTAGAAAGGGGTTGGCAGAGATGAGCAGAAATCCAAAGGACTGGTGATGTTAGGATGAGGGTGGGAACCAAGATGGGCTTTGGGCAGACCCTGACCCCTCTCTCTGCCTGTTGGCCCATCAGATGATAATCCCTGTGTTCCTGGATGACTCAGTGCAACCCAAGATGTTGGCAGCCACTTTGGCTGAGCTGGACAAGTTCCTGCAGACCAGGCCTTCCTTACTGGGTCCCATATCTCTGTGTCTGACTTGGTGGCAATCATGGAGCTCATGCATGTGAGTGCCACGGCTCGCTGGGCAGGGGGGTGTCCAGGAAGGGAGCTGACATCCCAGCTCACATTGTCTTTTCTGGCTGTGGGACCCTGTGTGAGTCACTTCTCTGAGCCTCAGTCTCCTCATCTATAAAATGGGGCTTTACAAACCCCTCACCGCAGAGATGTTAAGAGGCTTCCAAGGCAAAATTGGGGGATCATTTTGTATGGGTTTAGTGGGATAGTTTTCTGGGCTTTGAAGTCACTTCTGTATCTACTTAAATTGCTATAGTTGTCTTAGTGCATAAATGGCTTCTGGCTGAGGCAGGTGAGCCTCCAAATTAGGACTCAGCTGGTGGGGAGGCTCTTGGCTTTACTCAGGAAAGAATTCAAGAGTGAGCTGACAGACAAAACTAAAAGCAAAGTAAGTTTAGAAAGCAACAGTGTACTGCAAAATGGCTGCTCCATAGACAGAGCCGGGCTACCCCACCGGCAGAGTAGCACTCCAGGAATGCTGGCTGTTTATTCCCACTGTTAATCATATGCTAAATAAGGGGTGGGTTATTCATGAACTTTCTGAAACCATATAAGGTCATTCCTGGGTTATCGCCATGGCATCCTTTGTAAACTGTCATGGCCCTGGTGGGTGTATCTTATGCAAATGCATTATAATTCTTAATCCAAGCTGGTTTTGGGTCATTCTTTGTAATTGTTATGTCCTGTTTTAATCAGCAGGGTTTTAACCTGTGCTTGGAAAAGTCCTGCTGCTCTCCTACCTCACAGGGATATGCCTACTGCCAAAGGAGAGACAGAATTGTCTTTCTGTTCTCTCCATAGGAAATATTATAAAATCACTGTCACATGAAAATGTGATCAAAGAGTCTGCAGTCAAAACACATGGGGAGGCAGAGTTTTGTGTGTTTTTTTAGATGGACTCTTGCTCTGTCACCAAGGCTGCAGCATAGTGGCGCAATCTTGGCTCAGTGCAACCTCTGCCTCCTGAGTTCCAGCAATTCTCCTGCCTCAGCCTCCTGGGTAGCTGGGACTACAGGTGTGCATCACCATGCCTGGCTAATTTTTGTATTTTTAGTAGAGATGGGACTACAGGTGCACACCACCCTGCCTGACTAATTTTTGTATTTTTAGTAGAGATGGGGTTTCACCAGGTTGGCCAGACTGGTCTTGTTGTACTGGACCGAGCATAGAAAGTTAGCACCAAGACAAAAGTATGCCAGATTGCAGGGTCATTTATTATGCCGGCGACCACAGAGGACTCACGTCTCTCCAACCTGTGGCGTCGAAAGGAGGGTGCCAAGACTCTTTATACCCGAAAAACCACCTTGGGAGTGGGGGGGTGAGGAGCGGGGATGGGGATGAAAAGGTTTCAGACATTCCAAGGGCTAGTGGATTCTGTAAATCACCTCCTGGGCGGAGACGAGGGTGGGGGTCTCCTGACATTCCAAGGGCAAGGGGACTTTTGTCATTCTGTTTGTTACTTCAGTGGTTTACAGAAGTCAAGATGAACATTTGTTTACACATTGTCTGGCTGGTGATAGAAGTCACAGATCTTAGTTACTTATTACAAGACACAGGAGCCAGGATAGAATTAGCCTGGGCTGCTTATTTTAGTTATTACCGGTAAGCAAAGGCTAGCAATCTGGCAGTTAACTGATAAGAAAAGGTAAGCAGCTTTACATAGTTTGCAGAACAAACTAGCGGTTCTATTTACAGAAGCCAAGGCCAGCAGTTATTGTGAGGAGAATGGGGCAGCCTTGCAACTTATTTAAAAAACAGTTTTGCATTTTATAAAGATGGCGTTGCTCAGGTTCTGGCTCTAGGCCAGCACAACATCACAGTCTCAAACTCCTGACCTCAGGTTATCTGCCCGCTTTGGCCTCCCAAAGTGGTAGGATTACAGGCGTGAGCCACTGCACCCGGCCGAGGATAGAGTATTCTAACAGTGAAGGTGTCTGGCACTTCGTAAAAATGTCAGGACTTTTTTTCCTGGAGTTTGTGGTGTTTGCCTGCTTTTCAAAATTTGTCATTCCTTTTATTAACCTAAATTTTTATTTTATAGAGAAAAAAATTACTCATTAGTGTTGATGATGCCCTGGTTCTCTGTTCAGCTTTGTTTTCCAAACAACTATTCACCCAAGACTCAATCCTCCCCTCCAGCTCTTCACCCAAGACTCAATCGTCCCCTCCAAGTCTTCACTCAAAACTCAATCGTCCCCTCCAAGTCTTCACCCAAGACTCAATCGTCCCCTCCAAGTCTTCACCCAAGACTCAATTGTCCCCTCCAAGTCTTCAGCCAAGACTCGATCCTCCCCTCCAGCTCTTCACTCAAGACTCAATCCTCCCCTCCAACTCTTCATCCAAAACTCAATCCTCCTCTCCCACCAAATCTTCACCCAAGGCTCAATCCCCCCCTCCAACTCTTCACCCAAAACTCAATCCTCCCCTCCAACTCTTCACCCAAAACTCGATCCTCCCCTCCAACTCTTCACCCAAGACTCGATCCTCCCCTCCAACTCTTCACCCAAGACTCGATCCTCCCCTCCAACTCTTCACCCAAGACTCGATCCTCCCCTCCAACTCTTGATCCAAGACTCAATCCTCCCCTCCAACTCTTCACCTAAGGCTCAATCCTCCCCTCCAACTCTTCACCCAAGACTCGATCCTCCCTTCCAACTCTTCACCCAAACATTCTCCATGGCTCTGTCCTCACGCCATGCAATGTGCTAATCTCTAGGAACTGAAGACCCCACTTAAATGCATTTAAAATATAATGTGACCCAATAGCTTCTTTAGCCCAAGCTTATTGCTTCCTATGAGAATCATCATCAAGTCACATATGAGGAAACTGAGGCCAAGGCCAATGCTAAGGCCGATGAAAGTGACCGATGTTGAAGATGACACAGTATGACATGAGGGATTAAGTCAAGGCTATTGATGACGTCAAGACAGCTACTGTGCTTTGTCCCAAGGCCACTCCAGTTGGTGACAAAATAACTAACAGATTCCTGGCCAGGACTTCTCTCTCAGACCAGCTGCCTCCTACTGGAGCCAGCAATGCCTTGGTTTATATAGTTTCACTCATAGGCTGTCTTAGCTCTACTTAAGCAGGAAAGAGCTGAAATGACTTGCCCAAGATCACTCAGCTAATAAGCGACAGACGTAGGTTTCAAATCCAGGTCCCTGGACTCAGGGCAGAGCCAAAACAGACTGGCAGTTGATCAAAGTGACACAGCCTTCCTGGTAAAGGGTACAGTGAGGAGAAATTAACAACAGGAGGCTCTGGACAGAACAGGCTGCCTCCAATTTTCTTACCAGTGGCCCCCAAAGCCACGTGAGCTGGGCTTTCTGACAACACTTTATTGCATTTGCAGACCTTACATGCTTTAAACATGCTTTTAGTATCTCACTGGGTCTCTAACAACCCCAGGAGGGGGCAGAGCAGTAATTATTTCATAGATGGCAAAACAGCTTCACAAAAACATTGGGAGCTCAATAATTTCCCTATTGAGATGTACCCCCCCCCCCCAGGAGCTGTTCACTTACATCAGGTTCTGTAAGGAGAAAACCAACAAGGTCTTCTCTGAGGGATGTGCGCTTAAACCCCAAGATACCCTGCACCATTTTGTAACCCTCCTGACATTTCATAAACCCTGATCAGAGTAAAACATTCCATGAGGGTTCGAGCCATAAAAACAATACTGCCTAACCACCTAACTACAGGAACATCCCTATCACATCCTGCTGGACAAAGAGCCAAGAAACAGCTTCATCAACATGCTGGGCAGCAAGCCATACTGCCCTCCCTCCCCACATCCAGACCTGTAACTGACAGAGCAGGAGCACTGCCATCTTGAATACCACCATTCTAAGTTCCCCCTTAATTAAAAGCTGCCTAAATCCAGCCCCAAAACATCAGCCAAATGGCTAATGTCAGCATACCCAGAAACATTCCAACCCTAAGATAAACCCCTTTCTGATCAGAAACATGCCAACCCCAAGATAGCCTCCTCTCCGACCAGAGATATTCCCACCCTGCAATAAAATTTCCCTCACATGAAACATTCTGAACCTATGATAAGTCACCTTCCAAAACCCTTAAATATCCTTAGTTTGTAAGAGTGTGGCCTAACTCAGCCCGCAGCCCCTCTCAGGTTTGTCTAAACTCGTCCCTATTGACTGTCCAGCCACCCTTCGTGTGGCTTTCCTCTTTTATTCTTAAAATAACTATTCCAGTCTGTGAGCAGGATGCACGCTCTGACACTAAGCTTGTCCCCCCTCCACAGGTTTGTCCTGGCCATAAACCTGTGTTGCTGTTAAGCCGCCAACTTTTTTTTTTCCTTTTAATATATTTCTGTCCTGTCTCATGGCACTGTGAGCTCTTTCAGATTCTTTCTTTAACCCTCACCTTCCCTTCAAAATCCAAGAAGGATGAATTTCTCCCATCTCCCTTCTTCAAAACCTAAGAAGGATCAAATCAAGATACAGGGTCAAACCCAAGGAGTAGATTCAATGAGAAGTCTCCCTACTGACAAAGGTTACTAAGGATGGGGTTTTCTCTGGACCCCCTAGTCTTAGACATAGTCCACCACAGCCAAAAGCCCTTAAAATAAGATTGCAGTGCTTCTGGCATAGCCAAAGACAGACTTCTCTTAAAAGCAACGGCTAGCTCTCCACAGGCTGTGCCCTCATTGTTAGTCCAAGCTGTATTATTCTGTAAATCTCTCTGCCATTCTGTAGACCCTGGTCAGAGTGAAACATTCTACCGGGGTTTGGGCTTTCAGTAACACCTTGCCCAATTGTCTGACCTCTTTATCACATCCTGTTGGACACAGGTTTAAGGAATATTTTTATCAACATCCTCTTGGGCTAAGTCATACCGTCCAGACCCCTCTCGTTATGATTTTTCCAGCCTGAAAGTGGTAGTGGGGCTTTGGCATTGAGTTGGTTCCCACCTTGCTAGGCTGTGTTAATAAACCTGTGTTGTACAGTCTTGATCAACTCTCTTTCACCCTCATCATTTTTTCAAACCTAACACTCCTGTGTCCTCTCCCTCGCCTCCCCCTGGCATCCCTTGCCACTGTCCCTCTGTCCCTCTTTCCCCTACTTAACCCGAAGGGAAATCTCCCCCGAAGGTAAAGGTTACGTCTCCCAGGGATTAAGAGGGAGCTTGAGGCACCAGAAAGAGCTGCAGTCACAGCCACCTAAGAAAGCCATCTCCGAGGTCTCCTCCTGTCCAGGAGCTGGGCTCCTGCCTCAGACCAAGACGGCTCTTGCTTCTTTTCCTTTCTAGCCCCCACTCCCCACCCACCCCTTTTCTGCTCTCTAGCAGGGGCTCGTTATGGTTTACAGGGCTGGGGAACGATGCCTCTCCTGTCCTCCATTTCTGCCATCTCCCTTCTTTCCCCTCCACTTTTTCTGAGTCCACCCCTCTTCCCTTCTCCTTCCCTCCCTCTGGGACGCTGCACAGTTCCTTCCACCGACACGGCCTGGGACTCCAGACTCCCTCTGAAGGCACGGAGGCAGCTCCTTCCCTCCCCCCGGCGCGAGCTTTCGGCCCTTGATTCAAAACAATCTGAGGTCCCGAGGCCCTTCCCTTTCCAGCTCTGCGCTCCCCAGTCCCGGGAGGTTTTCCCGCCCCTTCCCTGCAGCTCCCGAGGCCACCCGGACACAGGGAGCCATTCGGCGGCGCCCTAGGAGGCCCTGGGTACACTGGCGGATGGTCAACGCCTCCTTACTGCGCAGCGAACGCCCGTTTCCGGTGGCCGGAAGCCCCCCCCGGTGGGCGGGGCCAGCGAGGTAGGTTGAGTCCGCGTATCCCCAGCATGCTCCGCGCGGGGGCGGGGCTTCAAGGGGACACGTGAAGGCGGAACTGGCGTGGTCAAACAGCCCATCAGCCTCTAGCCTGCTCCATGCGGGGGCGTGGCTCTATTATCTATATTTCTGCCCACAGCTGCCTGTGACTTAGGTATGCTGTAAGGCAATATAGGCTTCCTCTACTATGCTTATTACACTCGTGAGCTCTCCCTGTAGCCTTTAACCTCCATATTTCTATCAACAATCTGTGCAAAGCAATCTATGTTTTCTCTATCATGGGCCTCAAAATTCTTCCGGCCTCTACACATCACCCAAATTTAGAGCTACTTCCACATTTTTAAGACTGTTATTTGATTGATTGAGACAGGATCTCACTCTGTCGCCCTGGCTGGAGTGCAGTGTCACGATCACAAGTCGCTGCAGCCTAGACTTCCTGGGCTCTAGAGATCCTCCCACCTCTCGGTCCTGAGTAGCTGAGACTACAGGCATGTGCTAAAACGCCCAGCTTTTTTTTTTTTTTTTTTTTTTTTTTTTTTTTTTTTGATACCGAGTCTTGCTCTTTCGCCAGGCGGGAGTGCAGGGGCGCAATCTCGGCTCTTTGCAAACTCCGCCTCCCGGGTTCTAGCTATTCCTATTCCCCCGCTTCAGCCTCCCGAGTAGCTGGGACTACAGGTGCGCCACCACGCCCGCCTAACATATTTTAGTAAAGACGAGGTTTCACCATGTCCAGGATGGTCTCTATCTCCTGACCTTGTGATCGGCCCACCTTGGCCTCCCAAAGTGCTGGGATTACAAGCGTGAGCCACCACACCTGGTAAATTTTTGTATTTTTAGTAAAGATGGGTTTTTGCCATGTTGCCTAGGGTGATCTCGAACTCCCGGGCTCAAGTGATCCGCCCACCTTGGGCTCCCAAAGTGTTGGAATTACAGGCACTAGCCACTGTGCCCAGCCTAGATTTTCCTTTTTTATAGCAGCACCCTGCTTCCTGGCACCTGCTTCCTCATCACCAGATGAGCTTTCTGCGCCCATTTCCTCTGGCTACTGTAACAAATCACCACAACCTTGGTAGCTTAAAACAACATAAATCTATTCTCTTATAGTTACAGTTCTGGAGACCAGAAATTTAAAATCTATTTCACCGGGCCAAAACCCAGGTGCCGGCAGGGCTGCACACTCTCCAGAGGCTCTGAGGGGGAACTGGTTTTCTTGCTTTTTCCAGCTTTTGGAGCGGCATGTCTTGGGTCATAGAGTCCCATCTTGCATCTTCAAAGCTCACAGTGAAACCTCTTCAAATCTCTCTCAGCTTCCATTTTCTTCTGCCTTCTGTGTCATATCTCCCTCTATCTTCTCTTACACAGACATTTGTGATTGTATTTAGGGCTCACTCAAATAATCCAAGACAATGCCTCCCTCTCTACATTCTTAATCACTTCTGCAAAGTCCTTTTTGCCACAGAAGGTAACATTCACAGGTTCCAGAGATCAGGACTTGGATATCCTTATGGGTCATTATTCAGCCTACCACAGGAAGGAAAGAGAAGATGCTGCCGTGCTATGATTTGAATGGGTCCCCCACAGGCATGTGTTGGAAATGTAATCCCCAGTGCAACAGTCTTGGGAGGGGAGGCCTAATGACAGGTGTTTATCTCATGAGGCCTCCACCCTTATGAATGGATTGATGTGAATTATAAAAGGACATGAGGCTGTGAGTTCAACCTCTTGCTCTCTCTTTACCTTTTCACCATGGAATGATGCAGCAAGAAAGCTCTGGCCAGACGCTGGCCCCTCAATCTTGGACTTTCCAGCCTTCAGAACCATAAGCCAACACATTTCCACTTCTTATAAATTACCACCAGGTGGGGTGGGAGGGGGAAGGAAAAATAAAATAAAATAAAATACCACCAGGTGTGGTGGGGGCTCACACCTGTAATCCCAGCACTTTGGGAGGCCGAGACAGGCAGATCACCTGAGGTCAGGAGTTCTAGACCAGCTGGCCAACATAGTGAAACCCCGTCTCTACTAAAAATACAATCAGCTGGACATGGTGGCTCACACCTGTAATCCCAGCTACTCAGGAGGCTGAGGCAGGAGAATCGCTGAAACCCAGGAGGTGGAGGTTGCAGTGGGCCGAGATGGTGCCACTACACTCTGGCCTGGATGATGAAATGAGAGTACAGCTCAATAACCTAGTTGGTGGTATTCGGTTACAGCAGCACAAAACAGACTGACACTCTGCTCATATTAGGGGAGTTCCTGTGCCTTTGATGAGTTTCTTCTGGAGTGCCTGCCACTGCCTACTTCCCTCTTCAACCACCAACCTCAGCAAAGGCTTGTGGTTGCCGCATCACCTCCCCTGCCGCATCCCGTCTTTGTGATTTAAGCATTCAGATTTTAGCACTGCCTTCATTTGGCCCTTCCCTCCTTCTCATTTAGGCTTAGTTGAGGCTGTTCCTTCTTCCCTACTCTTTCTGGAGGTGGGAGAACAGCCAACGGTCAGCCACAGGACACTGCCCCAGGCTGCCGGCTTCAGGATTTTCTGGAGTTTGGAGGCCCAGGGCCAAGCTGCAGGGAGTTAGGGGCAGGAGAGTGAAGGCCACAGCCTGGAAATGATGCCTTCAACCAGCCAATGAGCAGAAGGAAACATGTTAGTGGTTAAAAGGGGAGAGATTTTTGACAGGAGTCAAGCAGGTTTTTATGTGGGAGAAGCCAGAAGAGGGGAAGAGGTTGAAGGTGGAGGAGAGAGGAGCTAAGTGGCCAAGTGAGGTCCTTGCTGAGGATGGAGGTGACTCTGAGACCGATGCACAAGCAGGCACCTGAGCCTGGGGGAGGGAGGCCAGGGGAGCACAGAGGCCCATCCGCCCATGAGCCAGGTCTGACCCTGTGGGTAGGAGGGGGCAGCCAGCCCAGGGGAAGCCAGGCCTTTGGAACCTGCAGTGAATGAGGTCAGGAAACTGTCAGGCTCTTCTGGGATCCAACTAGGTTAACTCTTTCATCTCCTTTCCTGGATGCAAATTTCTTCTTGGATTTTTACTCTTTACTCTTCCAGCTTTCCCCCCTACTAGCCCATACGAGCTGAATCCTCAGCCCACCAGGGCTTCTCAGGCTTTTCCTGGAACTTCCTTGTGTTTTTCAGATAGAAACTCAATGCCAATTGGCTTAGTAAAAAAAAAAAAATTGGGGTGGGAGGTGGGTGGGTGGGGAGATTTCTCAGAAAACTTCTCCAGTCATGGGAGAGTAGGGGTGTAGAGGCCACCAAGAGAACTGGAATCAGAACCTGTTCTGTCTCCCCCACACTTCCCCTTTCCTTTCCCCTCCCCCTTCCTCCCTTCCTTCCCTCCCACCCTCCCTCCCTTCTTTCTTTGAGACTGGATCTCTTTCTCCCCACATTTTTTTCTTTTCTTTCTCTGTCTCTTTCTTGACATGGCATCTTGCTCTGCCACCCAGCCTGGAGTGCAGTGGCATGATCATGGCTCACTGCAACCTCCAAGTCCTGTGCACCAGCAGTCATTCCACTTCAGCCTCTGGAGTGCCTGAGACTACAGGTGCACCCCACCATACCCCATTAATTAAAAACAAAAAAGAAACAAAAAAAACCACCAAAACTTTGGGCCCGGCACGGTGGCTCATGGCTATAATCCCAGCCCTGTGGGAGGCCAAGGTGAGCTGATCACATGAGCCCAGGAGTTCCAGAGCAGCCTGGGCAACATGGTGAAACCCCGTCTCTACAGAAAATACAAAAATTAGCCGGGCACAGTGGCGCATGCCTGCAGTCCCAGCTACTCAGGAGACTGAGGTGGGAGGATCACTTGAGCCCTGGAAATGAAGGCTGCAGTAAGCCAAGATCACACCACTGTGCTCTAGCCTGGGCAACAGAGCCAGACTGTCTCAAAAAGAAAAAAAAAAAAAAAAAAAAAAAAGAGAGAGAGAGATAGAGACAGAGACAGCAAGGCAAGGTCTCACCATGTTGCCCAAGCTGATCTCCAACTCCTGGCCTGAAGTGATCTTCCCGTCTCAGCCTCCCGAGCTGAGCAGCTGGGATTGCAGGTGTGGGCCACTAGCCTGGCTATCACTGTCTTTCTCTGAGACTAGCCTACTCGGTCAACTCACGAAATGCCACTACAGGTGGCCCCAGCTCCCACTTACCTCCCCGTAGGGAGCTCCTCTCTCGAGTTCCAATTTCAAAACTCCCAAGGAAGCATTCTGGTTGGCTCACTTGGGGCACTGGCCAAAGGGATGGGATACTCTGAAAGATTCAGCCAGGGTCCCGGGCCCAGCAGTGGCCCATCACTGCGCCCCCTGGTGAGATGCCAGGGCCGGGATCCAGGGAGAGGAAAGGAGGTTCCCGCAAAGTAGTCGTTCCTGCCCCCTGCGGCTGTGGCGCCCTCCCCATCCTGGGCACTAAGGGAGCTCCTGCTGTCTGGCAGCAGCTGCTCTGCAGGGCACAGTCTGTCACATCCCGCTGGATGAAACTCTAAGATCCCTTGTAGAGGATCCCATTCCCTCCCTCCCTCCTGCTGCCTTGCAGCTTGGAGAAACAAAGCTCTAAAAGAACCCTCCGATGTCCCTGCACTGGGGCCTTTGTAGGATGGCAGGGCCCCGTCGTTTCTGGGTCTGGGCGAGGCCTGAAACCAGGTAGGGTCTATGGCACTGGGCCCCCGAAAAGCAACACGTGGCCCTGGCTCATACCCCATGGGCAGGGAGGGGAAAGGAGGGGGACCTGGGGAGCACAAACAGCTTGGGGTGTGTCCGGGATGAGCAGGGGCTGACACAGCCTGTCCAAGAACCTCTTGTCTTCATCCTGTTCTGAGCCCCAGTGCCCCTCCACTCCCAGACTGAAGGGTATTGGAAGAGAGGACAAGGGGACATTTTTCCAGTGTTGTACAGAGTAGGTTCAATAAATGCAAGCTGAAGAGCCTCTACTGACTTCTCTCAGACTACCCCAATCTGCCCAGGCCAGGACTGGAGGCCAAAACCATGGCCCGTAGGCACAGCTCCTGGTGAGGTCCAGCCACCAGGCAGGAAGAGAACACGAGGTCAGCTAGCTGCAGAAATGATGGCGGGGGACCTGTCAGAGGAGGGCGGAAGATGTGCTTCCCCTCCTGATCCCTGAACAATGCGCATGGACACGCAAGGCACTCCATTGAGCATCCACTGTGTGCCGGCCCCATGCAGGGTTCCAGGGGTCCCGGGAGTCTTTTCTGAGCTGCACAGCCTCACACACGTCACTTGACCATTCTGACCTTGAGTTTTCTCTTGTGCTAAAGAGCTAACAAGAGTCTCTACCTCACAGGGCGGCTGCTGGGGTATCACAGAGATGAGGTTCTCAAAGTGTAAAGCAGAAGGTCCAGCCAAGAGTTGGTGCCCACGACAACAAAGACAGGAGACTCAGGGGAGGAGGGGTGGTGCCGAGGAGCTGGATGGAGGCTGTGGCTGGAGGACAGTCCTTCAAATGCAGAGAAGCCCCTGGGCCCCACTGGGGGTAAAGGCCTGGTGCCAGTGCCACTGGCACTGCCCACTCCTTACAGCCACTGCCCACTCATTCCCAGCTCAGCCATCCTGATTTACCTGAGCTGTAAGTACCAGACAGCGGACCACCGGTATCCGTCTGACCTGCAGGCTCGTGCCCGGGTTCATGAGTATCTGGGCTGGCACGCCACTGCGTCCGTGGCACCTTTGGTGTACTCCTGTGGACCTGGGTGAGGCGAGCCATGTGGAGAGTGCTTGGCCATCAGAGAGTAGTTGGGAGTAGACAGGGGCCACAGACTGACCCACTCTCTGGCCCCGTCAGGTGCTGGGGCCATTCACTGGGGTCCAGGTGCCCAAGGAGAAGGTGGAACACAAGAGGACTGCCATGGATTACACACTGCAGTGGCTAGAGGACAAGTTCCTGGGGGACAGGGCCTTCCTTGCTGGCCAGCAGGTGATGCTGGCTGATCTCATGGCGCTGGAGGAGCTGATGCAGGTGTGAGCTCAGCCTGTGGGCAGTGTCCCTCTTTGTGCCACACCAATGAGGCAGACAGAAACACTGAGGCCTAGAGAAAACCAGGACTTTCCCAGAATCATAGAGCAAGTCTCTGAATGATCTGGGGCCAGAACCCTGAGCTTCCACCTCCTGCCTGGGTGTAGGGTCTCACCCTGGCTGCTCTGGGGCCCTAAGGATGACCACACTACCTGGGCCCCTGTGGTCCATTCACATGCGGGCTGGGGAATGGACCATGTGTCTGATACTTTTGCCTATGCTTTCGGCATTCGGGCCTTAGCGCCCCCACAACTTTCCCATCCTTGTCCCTATAGCCGGTGGCTGTCGGCTATGAACTGTTTGAGGGACAGCCATGACTGGCAGCATGGCGTGGATGAGTGGAGGCTTTCCTGGGTGCTGAACTGTGCCAGGAGGCCCACAGCCTCATCTTGAGCATCCTGGAAAAGGAGGCCAAAAAAACCCTCCCAACACCCCCAGCAGAGGCCTATCCGACTATGCTGCTTCAAACTGCCAGGATTCCCTGAAGGGTCTGGGATAGGGGCCAGATCAGCACTGGGGATTAATTCTGTTTCTTACTTGCCTCTTTTTATCTTTTCTTCTTGCATCAGTTCCTTGTCTCCAGCTTCCGGTGAAGCTCTGCACAGTCAGGACACTCAGTGTCCTTGGCAGTGCTGCTACTCCTCAAATGCAGCATACATAACCAATAGGAGACTAAATCTGCAATATATAAAGAGCTCCTACAAATCAACAACATGAAGAAAGCAATCAAAAATTGGCAAATGTCATCAGTGTTTTAAATAAAATAAAGATTCCAAACACTTTGAATAGGGAACCAAGAGTTATTGGTTTTATTAGAGTGAAAGTATGTGCTAGTAATCTGCATCATGGTTAACCAAAGTCACCTCACAGATAACAAGTCAACACAACTGTATCACTGGGGCAACAAAAAATTAAATAAGTAACCAATTCGAATTGCAAACTATTAAAGGATACAGGCAATGTTTCACAGGACACAGCAACAGTCTTTGAAGTCTAGGAAGCTTAAAATATACCTTTTAACAAATGTTCCTACCTTCTAGGACAGTTTTGTAATAACAGCAAACAGTAGGATTATACCTTGTCACACAGACCTCCACATATATCCATGGGATGGACCCCACCACAATTATTTTAACAGAGAACTTAATACACAGAATTGGTAACCAGGCATTAGAGAACTCCAAAGACAGAGAAAATCCAGGTTAACTCAGAGGTAAACACGGCAAGAAGCTGCTACCCCTAGGGCTGAGGGATCAAGGGAGGACATTGGAATTAGGAAAACCAAGATGCTGGACGGGCTCTGAGGATTTCAAACCTCCAAGGAAGGGGTCGCTTCGCCCCCTGGCATCACCTCCCAAAGGCAGGATTGCGCAGTTTGCCCTGAGGTCTTCACAGGAGGCCATGTGGCTGTGGATGCAGTTCTCAGATGTGACAATAGATGTCACTGCCAACCAATAAACAGGATGTTTTGTACACGCTCTGGGCTACCGCCCAGTGCCCCCCATTTCCCATGCCTGCCCTGTGCCCACCATGTGCCACTCCTAGCCGGAAGTACTTCAAGCAGCAACCATTGCAACTGTCCTGCCCTGAGGGCGCCTGTGGTGGCTTCTTAGGTCCCATTCCGGCTGCCTCTCGTTCAGTGATTTCCAGTGCCTCTCGGGGACACTGTGGCCTGCTTTCCTGGGCCTTTTCCATTACCACCCTGCTCCCCTATCAGGCACTGGGGATGGCGGCCACAGCCTGTGTCTTCTTGATCCACACTAGCTGCTTTTGGATTGTTCCTAATTGGTTGGTTTTGCTTTCTACAGACACTTCAGTATAGTATACGAAACAAAGCTCAACAGTCAGTCCCGGTGCTGTGTAGGTGGCCGTAAGTCCGGGAGAGTGACCTCCGCTGAACTAATCATACCGTGCATCATCGTTAAGTAGGGCCGGCGGGATCCCCAGGTCACCTGGCAGGAGGAGGGGCAGGGAAGGGTCCCACGAAGTGACCCTGAATTCCACTTAGTGCTCTTGGCAGAGGGAAGGGCTTGGGCGAGTGCTGGAGGCATGAGATGGGGGTGTGTTCAGGACTCTCCAGCAGTCTAGGCATGGGAAGGGGAAACTGAGGGCCAAAGGCTAAGGCAACACTGGGAAGGGAACCATAGCAAGGTGAGGACTGGCTTTTGGCCATGTGACCGAATTGCCTGTGTGTGGTACGTGTGTGTGAATGTCAGTAAACTGCGCGTGTATGAACCGTGTGACTATGGATGTGAGTAAATGGTATGCTTTTGTATCTGGGGGTGTGTGTGTGTGTGTGAATGTGACTATCATGTGACTGTGGACGTGAGAGGATGTGTGCGCGAATGTATGTGGTTGTGTGTCTGAGTGTGTGAGTGTAAGTGAGGCACAGGTGCAACAGGAGAAAAGACACAGGAAACCTTACAGGCCTGCCGTGTGTCCTCTCGGCCTTCCTCCTGGCCAGGGGGGCCCTTGGGCTGAAAGGTTGTGAAAGCCATTGCTACTGCCAGGAAGGGATGATGCCGGCTGGGAGGGCTTGAGCCTTGCCAAAGGGTGGGAGTCAGAACTTGCAACCCTGTGGAGGAGGATGAGGGGCAGACGGGGGACCCTGCTTTTGGAAAACCGGTGACCAACCCCAAAGGGACACAGGCAATTCCTGCCCACACTCCACAGAGGTGGGGCAAAGGGGAGAGGGTTTAGCAGACCACCCAGCCAGTCAAGGAGGGAGTAGGCTTCAGGAGAACAGAGCTCTGGTCCCATTTGGGGGCTGAGGACAGGAGCTCAGGTCAGCAGTCTGCAGGAAGGCCCCAGCTGGACCAGCTGCCCACATCTTCCCAAAGGCCTGCACATGGGTGTAGACAGCAGAGCCTCCAGGCTGAGGCTTCCACAGCCAGATCTGAGCAGTCTAAACATAGCAGACAGCAGCCCTGAAGATGGAAAACATCCCTCTCCAGGTTCCATACGGTCTCTTTATCCCCCAGCCCTGCTGCCCATGGTGGCCCAGGATGCCCAGGAGGGATAATAGGAGGTAAGAAGTCATGTTTGAACAAGGAAGCTCTCTTCATTTATTTCGTATAAAGATGAAGAAGAAGATTATGTGATCACAGGAATGCTGCATGCAGGATTATCCGAAGCTGGTATCACCAGGCCCTCACTCTGCCAAGAGGTCTCCCTGGAAGGGGCAGCCAGCTCAGAGATGCCCTGGATCCCTCCATGCCAATCATAAAAAAGTCATGACCGTCCCTTTCTTGCCAATCTGCCAGGGCTCCAGAGGAAAAAAGCGGATAACTATCCTTCAGGAGACAGAAAAAGATATCATCAGCCCCTTGGTTAACACCACACCTTACAAGACCCCTGTCAGGTACTCCCAACTGTGGGTACCCAGGACAGTCTGCCTCAGCCCACCACACATTTTGCAAGCCTACTCATCCCAGTAGTGATCTTCCCCCAGCCTCCAGCAGGGCAGTGGGACACTCAGTTGTGGGATGGGGGCTGTACACCAGCATGGCCCACCTAGGACAGACACTCAACAGCGGCCTCAGTGTGATTACTGTACACTCCATCATCTCCATCAGTCTGGGTGTGGGCTCAGAGGCAGCCTGCCTCCTCCTAACTGCAGGCTCTCTACAGGCACACGCCTCAGCTACCTGTTTTCTCAAAGCCTGGGCACAGAGTGACCCCCCGCCAACCCCAGCCGCTAATGCCCGTGCCATAAGTGAACATGACCTTCTCAGAGGTGACAGCAAGATTCCAGCAAGAAGTACCAGAGCTTGGGATAGCCTGGCTGGGGGCAGGGGGAGTATGAATAGCCTCCGTCTTCCCATTATAAAACTGGCCTAATGGAGATATCTACCTCATGGGGATAGCATGTCTTGTCTGAGCAAAGATAGTGTGGACAGGGACAGTAAGGATGGAACGGGCTCATGAGTGTAAAGTACCTGTAAGGCACCCGGCACATGGTAAGCATTTCTTTTTTTTTTTTTTTTTTTTTTTTACGGAGTTTCACTCATGTTACCCAGGCTGGAGTGCAATGGCACGATCTTAGCTCACCGCAACCTCCACCTCCTGGGTTCAGGCAATTCTCCTGCCTCAGCCTCCTGAGTAGCTGGGATTACAGGCATGCGCCACCATGCCCAGCTAATGTTTTGTATTTTTAGTAGAGACGGGGTTTCGCCATGTTGACCAGGATGGTCTCAATCTCTTGACCTCGTGATCCACCCGCCTCGGCCTCCCAAAGTGCTGGGATTACAGACGTGAGCCACCGCGCCCGGCCCATGGTAAGCATTTCTAATACTTGTTCTTCGAATAACAGTTTTCCCTCAGTATCCATGGGGTATTTGTTCTAGGATCCCCAGAGGATACCAAAATCGACACGTGTTCAAGTCCCTTACGTAACATGGTGTAATATTTGCATATAACCTACACACATCCTCTCACATCCTTTAAATCATCTCTGGGTTACCTACAATACCTAATCGAATGTATGTAGTAGTTGTATTGTTTAGGGAATAGTGACAAGGAAAAAGTCTGCACATATTCTCAGTATAGATGCAACTACCCATTTTTTTCTTTGATATTTCAATCCATGGTTGTTTGAACCTACAGCTACGGAACCCAGTGATACAGAGGGCTGACTATTATTTCTCTAGAGCTTGAGAGAGGACACATCAGGTTCAGCCATACTTCATCGGCCTTCATGGACTAACAAAGTCTCCACTCCAGAAGGTGTTTTTCTTTTTTTTTTTTGAGACAGGGTCTCACTGCCACCCAGGCTGGGGTGCAATGTCGCAATCACAGCTCACTGAAGCCTCAACCTCTTGGGCCGAAGCCATCCTTCCACCTCAGCCTCCCAAGTAAGTGGGACTACAGGTGCACACCACCATGTCTGGCTAATTTTAAACATTTTCTGGGAGGACGGCGTCTCACTATGTTACCCAGACTGGTCTCCTACTCCTGGGTCAAGTGAACCTCCCGCCTTGGCCTCCCAAAGTGTGAGGATTACAGGCATGAGCCACCGTACCTGGCCAGTGTCCTTTCAAGCTCCTCATGCCCTTACTTCCTCAGAGGCATGGACGTGGCTCAAGAATATCTTTTACCCAAGAGGAAAATTTTAACTCTGTCACAGAACGACAGGTTTGGGTTGTAGAGGCTTCTTGCGGGGGAGGGACGCCATTTCCCTGTTTTCACAGAAGAGGAGGTTGCTAACGAGATGGTTCATTTCCAAGTTTGTCTGGGGTCCCCCAGCTATGCAGGACCCAAAGCAGACGTCTAGACATCCAGGCCAATGCTCTTTCACTACTCTGAGTCCCCGTGAACCTCACCTGGAACCTGGTTGGGACATAGGTCCAAAGGACATAACCTCAGAACATACCCAGAATTCCTTCTGACCAGCCTGGCTCATTTTTCTGGAAAAAGTTCTGGAAAATCACTCTTCAGCCAGGTGTACCTACCCTGCCACTCGCCAAGGCAGATACAGGACAGACAATCCCCTATGACCCTTGCAATGCCTCTAGGGAATAGTTAAAAGAGAGCCTTCCCCATTCACAGACTTAAACATTGAGGAGCAGAGCCAGGAATTCATTCAATCCTGCCCGCACTGCACTTTGAAGATGGTCCTACGATAAGGACCCTGAGGTTCATTTCTTCACAAACCTCAGGTGAGGGGCCCCACGCCCCGATGTGTCACTACTGGGCAGGGCAAGAAATGGGATTTTCCCCCTGAGGCAGGATCACTGACTCCAGTCTGCGGTAGTCCCAAACGGATCCCCTACTGCCCCTACGCACCGGTCCTGGTCCAGAGCTAGCTCCTTGGTAAGAAACTCAAAGAAGTGAGCGCTGTGGCTGCGGTTGTCCTCGGCGGTGCCCACGACGCCGATAGAGGAGACGGACAGCTGCGCGCAGGGCTCGGTGGACCCGTGCAGCACCATGGCCAGGCCCGGCCGCATCGTCACGTTCACGCGCTGAGGGAGACACGGAAAGTTTTGCCCGAAGCTAGGGCGGGCCGGGCTACCTCTGGGGACCGGACCCGAGCGCGCAAAAGCCGAAACGCGCAGTGTTTGCGGGATCAGGAATCCCGGTACAGGCGGAGGTCCCTGGAGGTCATGTCCGGGTCATGACTGGGGAGGGCGACTAGGGAAAGCCTTGCGGAGGGGGAGCAGCGGGATGGTGGAGGACGTAAAGTCCGAGCTTGGCGTGAGGAATGAGAGGGGGTGTGGTCCCTAGAGAGATGGGACGGGGTCGCGGTCAGGGACAGGCCCGGACCCCTGGCCCGCCAACCTCCCCTCACCCGGTGCTGCCCGCCCCACGCTCACGTCCGCAGGTTTGCCCAAGATAGAGGCAGCGGCGGCGCAGAGCCGTTTCTCCAGCCCCGCGGGCACTCGGTTGGCGGGTAAATTCGTGTCCAGCTCTAGGAACGGCATGGCGGGCAGACTGAACGAAACCAACTCGCGCGGAGAAAAATCTCGGAGTACCCAAGAGTCGCGGACCCAGCGCAGGGGCGTGGCGCCGCAGCAACCTGGATTCTTATTGGCTGGACAGAGACTCGGCGCTCCCCGATTGGCTGCCTAGGGTACATCCCGCTTCCGCAAACAAAAGTCACGTGTGTCGGCCCAGATTTCCGGAAGTCCCATTGAACCCCCAACACACACACACTAAGTGTAGCCCCACCCGCTACAAGTCTTTCACTGCGTCGTGGCCCCACCTGGTCCCTTCCTGGACCCACCTGGCCAGCGCCAGGTAGATTTCCCTCTCCTCAAGGTTTCCGCGTTGTGGTCACCTGGTTCGTAGCCCAATTAGAGGTCTGAACATCCCAAACACACAGAGACACACACGCGCCTATAGGAGTCTTCCCCAGTCTCGACCCTAATAATCAATGCAACGGGAGCTTAAAAGTATTTTTGATTGATTTGCCACTATTTCAAAGTCAGGCAATTTTATGTTCCCTATGGAAATCTGCGCTTCTCTTGGGCAATCACGAGATCTAATTACACGTGCGGGCTCTGGTGGGGCTGGGCAGTGACCTCGACTTTCCCCATCCCCAGCTGGTCCACACTGACTGCCTGTGTAGCCTCTTGAGCCGGTGGTGAGCCACTATTCACCAGAGGGTGGCAAGATATGTTATTTAAAACATGGAAATCTGTTGATGTGGCTTAAACATGAGTGTGGTCAGTGTGGCAAAATCACTTGAATTGTACATTGTAAATACGACTGAAATTGTAGCCAGGCAAAGTAGCTGACACCTGTAATCTCAGCACTTTGGGAGGCCAAGAAGGGAGGATTGCTTGAGCTCAGGAATTCAAGACCAGGCTAGGCAACATAGCAAGATTCCCTTCTTTATTAAAAAAAAAAAAAAATTACAGGTGCCATGGTCTGTGCCTGGGCAGCTGAGGCAGGCAGATCGCTTGAGCCCAGGAGATCGAAGCTTCAGTGAGCTATGAATGTGCCACTGCACTCCACCCTAGATGACAGAGTGAGACCCAGGCTCCCCCATGCCCCCAAAACATGAAAGAAAAAAAGTGTAGGTTTATATGTACAATTTCAACCACACGTATAAAATTCTGTATAAGTGTGCATACTTAAAGGAGTCTCCACTGAAAGTCAGGCCAACCAAGAGTCTATGTCTGTCATGATCTTGTATTATTAGTGGTTTATTAGATGACTCAGATATCAGAAGGTCTGAGACACACGACAGGAAAATATGACAGTCCTGAGGGGAGAGGGCAGGGACAGGTGACAAGTTTCAGACCAGGTGTGGGGCATGGACAAGCCAGTTTTCAGGGAGTGGGGTGTAGAGAAGACAGGGATCAAGGTTATGAGGAGGCATGGGAGAGGGCCAGGAAATACCCAGGCACTTCCCTTCCTGCAAGGAGATTCATGAACCAGCCCTGTACGCCCCCTGTGGGACACAGCATCACTACAGAGTGAGGAGAGAGACCTAGGAGACTGTTGAAAACAGACACTCGGTGCGGCAAAGAAAAATCAACACCGAGACGAGGAACTTCTCAGCAAAGCAATTTTTACTTCCTGCACTGCAGGAAGGGTAGCCTTGCTAGCCATCTTCCATGAGAGTACAACAAACAAAGGAAAAGCAGACATTTATCCCTTACGCATTTGGGGTTGTCCTTACTGCTGTGTTCAATCCCCATTGGCTGGGGCCAGACCTCACTATTTAAATAACCCGATTGGCTAACAACTTAAAACTTACCTAAACAGGTAAAAGCAATGGAGAAGTTCAAATAAGGAAGGGGCATAGGCTGTGAGCTGGGACGTGCCTGTGGGCACGTCTAGCACGGCTATTCTGGCTAAAGAACAAGGAGATAGAATGTACTATGTGCCTATAAGCATGTCTAACAGGTACATAGGATAGGGCTTAACAAAGAGTTATTAGCACACTCATGATTTATTCTTTAACAAGAAAGGAAATTTTGAAGAGGAACTTTTACTTCCCACAGAGACCAAGGCTGCTCCTGATTCAGACATCTTTTCACCAGATCCCCCCTCATCTATGATACATGCTCAATCCAGTGGGCATTCCCCCGAAGGGAAGCACTGGGGCCGAGATGCTCAGAGAGATCACCTGACCTGGAGCAGGCCTGGGGTGGTCAGGGAAGTCTCACTGGAGAAGAAGTCTCATTTTGCCAAATGCCAAAAGACCAGGAAGGGCACCAGGCAAAGAAGATGAGGCAGGAACAGCATGAGCAGAAGCCAAGGGGCCAAGGTGGGAGCCCAAAGAGGGGTCTAAAAGTGTGCAGGTAGAAGAGGCAGCCTGGAGGAGTGGGGGTAAGGCTTGGAAAACAAAGTTCGATGAATCGTACTTTAGCCTCTGGCCAGTGAGGAACCATAAAAAGCTTCACACAAGGACAGGGTCAAATAAGTGTTTGCTAAAGCTCTTTCCAAAGGTCTCGTGGAAGCTGGAATGGGATGGGGTAGGAGACAAAAGGAATGCAGACATGATATCCGGAGGGAACTGTGACACAGAGCCTCCCACCTCTACCTCCCAAAGTGCTGGGATTACAGATGGAAGCCATGACAGCTGGCCAGTCATAACAATTTTTTTTTTTTTTTTT